GTACCAAATCATAAGTACAATCACCTGTTGATATCACCTGTTTCAACTCACAGCATTATTTAATCAGTTTACCTGATTACCACCCTAAACTGCTCCTGTCCCAAGTTGTTTTGGAGTGTGTTGCAGGTCTGAATGACTGGAAAAGACACATTTTTACTAATGAAATGGAGTTGACCAGACAAAACATGAAGCAATTTGTGTTTGTATTGTCTGCAATGAAATTGTAACGACGGGGAATGACACATACAACTGGGGTAAGATCCAATATGCAGGTTTATTCGTTGTCAGGCAAGCGATGGTCAACACAGGTGTAAACGGGTATATGTAGGCAGTCCAGAATCGTAGTCAAACACAAGCAAGAGGTCAAAAAGGCAGGCGGCAGGCAGGAAGAACAGGATAAACAAGGCTAGGTCAAAACACAGGAAAACAAGACAAGGAAAACGCGTTGTAATGTCACTAATAGCAAACAAGACTCGGCAAACTGGATGGGTGAGTGTGTGGCTTAAATAGTGTGTGCAATCAGTCTCTGACAATCCTCATGTGGTGTGAATGTAATCAGTTTAGATGAGGAAGCATGTGTGTGCATGTATGAAAATGTAGTCCATCAAACGCGGAAGTGTAGTCCATGGTTTGGTGAGTGAGAACCAGCGATCTAAGGAGTACGATCGCTGGTTATCGTGACAGAAATACAAGTAGGTAAATTTAGAAATCACTACTTTCTTTTTTATTTGTGTCTTTCATACTGTCTCAACTTTATCTGATTTGGGGTTGTATTAATTAATTAGTGTTCAAATTTGCATTAAGTTTAGGGTTAATTGTGCATAATTAATAGATATTACTGTAGTATAAGTGCAATGAACATAACAAAGACGGCTTAAGATAAAATGTTACTAAACAAAAGTGTAATTTGCATACACTGTTAAAACGTTTGCTTTTATTTATTAGAGTTTACAGGATGTTTAATTATGCAATTAGTTCAATTCAACAAAACAGACAACACATACACATGAATTACTTAATTATTAACGATAGATTGCTTTATGGATGTGAAAAATGCCCCGGGAAATCAAATTCAAAAGCAAATTGAACAATTAATTTCTGCTTTGATTAAGCAGGTCAAATAAAAATCCTTAAACTACATGGAATGATCGATTCAAACCCTGTTCCACAACAAAAGCCAAAGAATATTTGAATATACAGATATCAAGTGTGAACAACTAGTTTGACAAAAGCTGGCTTCAAATGCAGGCAGAATTCAACAAATAGGGGAGAAAAAAAATCAAGAAGCATGAGCTCACGCACATACACATATGCTATTTTTAGCAACTCTGAGATGTCTTGTGAATCTGACTACATGGGCTCATTTTTAAGACACTCTGAGACAAAACAAGAGGAAACAGAAGACATGTCATTCTTTCTGCACTCATTTATACCTTTTTCACAGCAAATGTGTTTCTTTTGAAGGTGTTTGGCGGGTGATAATGAGAAGGGTTGCGTGTCAGATGACATTTATAATGAATTTATAGTTTGCCCCGTTTGTTCTTCGGATTCCTCAGTGTTTGCATCTTTCTTTGATACCTTGGGTTGTTAGAGATTAATGGTTTTCTGAAGAGAAACACAGGCCAATTAAAAGGAGCACGCTAGTTATGAATATCTAGCTCTCGCTCGTAGCATTCACATGGTGGAAATGACTTTGAATTTTCACTCATTGTGTGTTTTTTTTCGAGCCAAGCACTTGTGTTAAGAGGCTAGCTCTTGCTGAAAGAGCCATTAACTTGAGATGAAAAGATATTTACATATTTCTCTAGTAATAGATGCAGAAGCATGAATAATGACGATGAATCAAGTCAGCATTAAACTGCTTTCTTCAACACACACACACACTTACGCTGCTATGACTTGCCGTAGAAGTCTATTGTGTTCATACTAACTGCATTTACAACTTTTACGTTTTCAGATACACATCATGTAGTATTTGTAACTTTTAATTTCCCTCATGGAGATTACTGGTAGAAGAAACAGAGAAGACGTGTAAAAGGTGAGAGAAGAGCAGTGCAGGAGAATAAAATAAAATAAAATAAAATAAAATAAAATAAAATAAAATAAAATAAAATAAAATAAAATAAAATAAAATAAAATAGAATATGACAACAAAAGAAAAGAATAAAAACCTAACATACCAGAATTTGTAAAGATAAAATATAATAAAAGAGTATCTAAGACTAGAATAGACTTCACTAAACAGAACCAGAATAGAATAGAATAGAATAGAATAGAATAAAATAGAATATGACAACAAAAGAAAAGAATAAAAACCTAACATACCAGAATTTGGCAATATACAATAAAATAAAATGTTACATATGACTGGAACAGAACAGAACAGAACAGAATAGAATAGAACAACAAAAGAACAGAATAAAAACCTAACATGCCAGAATTTGGCAATAAACAATTTAGTAAAATGTTACATAAGACTGGAACAAAACAGAATAGAATAGAATAGAATAGAATAGAATAGAATAGAATAGAATAGAATATGACAACAAAAGAACGAAGTAAAAGTCTAAAATACCAGAATTTGTCAAAATAACTTGCATTAAAAGACTAAATAAAACTAGAATAGATCCTACTAGACTAGACTAGAATAGAATAGAATAGAATAGAATAGAATAGAATAGACTAGAATAGAATAGAATAGAATAGAATAGAATAGAATAGAATAGAATATGACAGCAAAAGCACAGAATAAAAGCCTAACATACAAGAATATGTCAAGATACAGTTTAACAAAAAAAAGAGTACATAAGACTATACTGGAATAGACTTCACTAGGCTAAACTATACTAGAATAGGATAGAATAGAACAGAATAGAATAGAATACAGAGGGAATAGAATAGAATATGACAGCAAAAGAACAGAGTAAAACCCTAAAACAAAACTAAAGAATGAAATAAGAGCCTATTAGACCACAATTTATCAATGTACAATAAACTAAAAGAGAACATAAGAACATAACTAGACTAGACTAGAATAGAATAGAATAGAATAGAATAGAATAGAATAGAATAGTATAGAATAGAAAAGAAAATAATAAAGTAAATCTTAACATACCAAAATATGTCAAGCAATAATATGATAAAAGAGTGCATAAAACTATACTGGAATAGACTTCACTAGACTTATCTAGACTAGAATAGAATAGAATAGAATAGAATAGAATAGAATAGAATAGAATAGAATAGAATAGAATAGAATATGACAGCAAAAGAACAGAGTAAAAGCTTAGCAGAGTAGTATTTGTCAGTACACTACAGCATATAATAAAAGACTACACTAGAAAAGAACAGAAAAGAATGTGACAACAAATGAATGGAGTAGGAGCCTAATAAACTGGATTTTGTCAATATACAATATACTAAATGAAAACATTAGACTAGACTAGTCTAGACAAGGCTAGACGAGACTAAAATAGAATAATAAAATACAACAGAAAAGACCAACATCAATATAGTAAACAATTAGAATGAAGATCAGAAGAGATAATCAGAATGAAGCAGTACAGGATAATAGAATACAACTAAAATGAAATGAAATAGATCTTGACAACCAATAAATGAGCAAAAGCATGAAAGACCTGAAATTTAGATAGAACAGGACAGAGTAAATGAGCACATTAGAAAATTGCAAAGCAGAATAGAATAGAATAGAACCGAAATGGAATAGAACTTGACAACCAATAAATGAACAAAAGCATGAAAGACCAGAAGGTTTAGATATAGAACAGGACAGAATAAATGAGTACAGAAGATATGAGAATAGAATAGTACAAAGCAAAATGGAACCATAGAATAGAATAGAATAGAATAGAATAGAATAGAATAGAATAGAATAGAATAGAATAGAATAGAATAGAACACACGCTGTAAAAGAGACTAGAATTTGCATATATACAATTATGTGGAACAAAACTGTTGCCTACAGTTTAAAATTAAATTTAATAGAACAAAACCATAGAAGAGACTAGAGTTTGCATATATAATCATACAGAATAAAACTATTACCGATAGAATATATAACAGAACAAAGCCAGTATAAGAGACTCGAATTTGCATCTATACAATTATACAGAACAAAACAGTTGCCTACAGAATAGAATAGATAAAAAAACTGTATAAGAGACTAGAATTTGCACATATATAATTATACAGTATAAGACTAATGCCAACAGAGTAGAATAGAACAGACCTGAAACAGTATAAGAGATTAGAATTTGATCCTATAAAATTATACAAAATACAACAGTTCTCTACAGAATAGAATAGAACAAAAACTATATAAGAGACTAGAATTTGCACATATATATAATTATACAGAATAAAACTATTACCCATAAAATAAAACAAAACAGAAAAAAAAACTAAATAAGAGACAAAAAATGACAATATAAATTTATCCAGAACAAATTGTTGCCTACAGGACAGTATAGAAAAATAGAATAATATAATATTCTTTCAGAATAAAAATAGAATAGAATAGAATAGAATAGAATAGAATAGAATAGAATAGAATAGAATATAAAAGACCAAAAATTAAAAGACTAGATTTTGCATATATATAATTGTACAGAACTATTGCCTGAACAGAACTACAACCGTAAGAGACTAGAATTTGACCATATAAAATTATACAGAACAAACCAGCTTGCCTACAGAATGGAACATAATATAATAGAATAGGATTAAAACGCACACAGGATGATCAAAACCCAAAAAATAAACTACTGACAGCTAAAATCAGCTGGTCGGACCTGAGCTGAATATGATCGGAGTTTCTCCAGCGTCACGCAGATCTCAGAAAGTGTGTAACATCTTTCAGACCCTCCGCACCCATTAACGAAGCAGGCTGAATCCATAAAGTCAGAACACACACGGATTATTTGCGCTAAATGTTTCAGCTGAGTTCCTTTTCATACTAGTGAACTCTTAACGCGTCTTACCGTGAAACAGATCCGCCGCCGGTGACCGGAGCTCCACATGCACGCGCGCGACTCTCCTGCGCACGAGTAACCGGTGGTTTGAGAAACGCAGCTTTATCAACCAAACCTGAGGAGGAGGAGGAGGTGCCTTTAGATAGCGAGCGATCTGTTGACATTGACCTCACTTCCTTAATGTTTGAACTTCCAGAGATCCATATGCTATAAAAAAATTAATAATAGGTATAGAAAAATGGCTTATTCATTCATTTTCTTTTCAGCTTAGTCCCTTTATTAATCAGGGGTCCCCACAGCGGAATGAACTGCCAACTTATCCAGCATATGTTTCACGCAGCAGATGCCCTTCCAGCTGCAACCCATCACTGGGCAATGCATTATATCCCCGTCAAAACGTTCACATCTTTTTTACCAACGCAAACCCAAACTACAAATCTCCTTTTTTGCACTAATAGCACATTTTTTTGTAAAGAGTTCTTATATCTTATAGTTAATTATGATTTTGAGCTATTAAAGGGATTAAATGTGCATCAATTATTAATCTAAACACATGCAATATAGCAATAATAACAGTCCAAAGACATGCGGTACAGGTGATTGGGTAGGCTAAATTGTCCATAGTGTATGAGTGTGAATGCGTGTGTGTGGACGTTTCCCTGAGATCGGTTGTGGCTGGAAAGGCATCCGCTGTGTAAAAATGTGCTGGATAAGTTGGCGGTTCATTCCACGGTGGCAGCCCCGGATGAATAAAAGGACTAAGCCAAAAAGAAAATGAATTATTGAAAAAAAAATGTATATATATATATATATATATATATATATATATATATATATATATATATATATATATATATATATATACATGTATATATTGTGTGTGTGTGTATGTATATATGTATATATGTGTGTGTGTGTATGTATATATATATGTGTGTGTGTGTGTATGTGTGTGTGTGTGTGTGTGTGTGTGTGTGTATATATATACACACACATGTATATGTGTTTGTGTGTGTGTGTATATATAGGTATATATACATGTATATGTATGTGTGTGTATATATTTTATATATATATATATATATATATATATAAATATATATATATATATATATATATATATATATATATATGTGTGTGTGTGTGTGTGTGTGTGTGTATATATATATATATATATATATATATATATATATACAGTGGTGCAGTGGGTAGTGCTGTCACCTCACAGGTTGCTGGTTTGAGCTTCACCTGGGTCAGTTGGTGTTTCTGTTTGGAGTTTGCATGTTTTCCCCATGTTGGCGTGGGTTTCCCCCGGGTGTTAGGGGGAGTTGGGTAACCTAAATTGTCTATAATGTATGTGTGTGAATGAGAGTGTATGGGTGTTTTACAGTGATGGGTTGCAGCTGGTAGGGCATCTGCTACATAAAACATTTGCTGCATAAGTTGGCGGTTCAGGTTATTTATCAGGGGTCATCACAGCAAAATGAACCACCAACTATTCAAGTTCAAGTTTAATTTATTTATATTGCACGTTTCCAACTAACACAAGGCTACACCCTCAACCCCCTCCCCCCTCCCCCCTTGCTATGGCAAATGCAAGTTCGCCCCTGTCACACAACCAGCAATCGCTTCCCAGAGGATCGCTGGTTCTCACACAAACTCTCATGACTACATTTCCGCATTTCCCAGGACTACATTTTCATACATGCACTGCTCCCAAACACGCACGCCTGTTCATTCATCTATCCTGATTGCAATCACCAGCTGGACCTTGTTCACAGACTGATATTACTCCATTTATAAGCCACTCATTCACGCTTCCAGTTTGCCGAGTCTTGTTTGCTTTCTAGTGACATTACAACGTGTTTCCCTGTCTTGAATCTCCGTGTCTCGATCCTAGCCTTGTACCCTTGTTATCCTGTTTAGCCACCTGCCTTTCGACCTTTTGCCTGTGTATATCGACTACGATTCTGGACTGTCTATACATACCTGTTTGCACCTGATGACCACTGCTTGCCTGACATTAAATAAACCTGCATATTGGATCTTACCTCCTGTTGTCCTCTGTCACTCCACCCAGTCGGTAACAGCCCCTACTTTTTAGGTGGGCCTTTGGGATTTTTAATAAATACTGATCAGCGTAACGCAAGTGTCTGGATGGAGTATCAGTTGGGATAAATAATGGGGGCCCAGACTTATAGGGATTAGACTTGTAGGGCTTTCTACACAGAGAGAAGGATTTTAAATTCGATTCTTTGTGTCACCGGTAGCCAATGGAGAGACCTCAAAATAGGAGTGACGTGCATATTTCGGGTATTTTGTTAACAATCTAACTGCTGCTTTTTACACTATACCAGGCGAGCAATCTGAGACTTAGGCAGCCCAGAGAGAGATACAATAGCCTAACCAGGAGGTTATAAGCACATGTATTGCAATTTCTAGAGAACGTGAAGGAAGAGAGGACTTTATTTTAGAAAGAAGGTTGGAGTTGGTAGAAACTGTTTCCAACCACAATCGAAATATGTTTATCAAATTTTAAGCTCTGATCTAATGTTACGCCCAGGTTACCTACCCTAGATACTAGGGATGTAACGGTATTGTAAATACCGTCATACCGCAATATTAATTTTTTTTCGATATTACCGAAGTCGCATGACTCGGTAAAACTATAGGTCTTCTGAGAAAATTTGCTCAGGCGAATGAAGCGAACGGGAGGTAGCTGAAACTTCATTTCCCATCAGCCCCGGCGTGGCCATAATCCTTTGCGGTCTGTTGTCGCTACAGATCCAGTAATGCGGAAATGGAGTGTGCTGCTAGTAGCGGAGATGAAAAAAAGATGGAAATGATCGAACCTAAAGCGGGTGTTGTCGCCGCGCGCGTGCTGAATAGCGGTGCTGTCACGCGCGTTCTGATCAGCTGTGTTGTGGCGCGCGTATTGTAAAGCGCCGAGGGGGGGTTGAGCGCGCATACTCAAGAGAGGTGTTATCGCGCGCCTACTGAAGGGCTGGACTGGACGGAGGTTGTGTCGCGTCGCGGGGGCACTTTTGATCGTTTTGGAAGGGCATTTTCTATCCAAGACTAAAAAGGGCATGTACACTGCACAGGTTGAGCCCTATGTGTGCACGTGCCTGCAAGTTGGGGAATACGACTAATAACAGTCATGGGGACTGCAGAAACACAGCACACTGTTCAGATTGATGCAGACATTGACTTGTACCGCAAAGAGATCTCTATCTCACTCATGGTTTGTCCTCTCAAGTGGGGGAAAGACAATGCACAACGTTACCCCACTGCTGTCAACATGGGCCAAGTCATATCTCTCTTGTCCCAGAATCCTCAGTTCCAAATGTTTTTTTCTGTTGCAGGGGACATTGTAAATACCCAGAGATACCAGCTTTTACCAGATTATAGTTATATGATAATTTTCCTTTAAACCCATCTCTATCTAAGTGAGTGATTAAATGTTGAATGTGATGAGTTTTTAACAATACTAAATTGAAACTTTATTTTTTTTACATGTTTTAATAATTTTTTGTTATTAAAATTGAAGTTCCTGTTTCAAAGCTTACAGATAGATGGCTAATTTGTATGTCATTGACACTTTTGGCACTTTTTTGGAGTATTTTCAAAAGTTTTTTTTTTTCCTGTAAATGATTCAATAAATACCGTACCGTGACATTCATACCGAGGTATTACCGTACCGTGAAATTCTGATACCGTTACATCCCTACTAGATACTATTCCAGCATATGGATGCCCTTCCAGCTGCAACCTAGTACTGCACTACGACCAATTTAGTTCATCCAATCCACCTTTAGCGCAATATCCGGAAACCGGAGCACCCGGAGGAGCCCACGCCAACAAGGGGAGAACATGCGACAGTGCTGACCACTGAGCCAGCGTGTCGCCCATGTCTGTGTGTGTATAAAAATAAATGTCGTTTTGAGAGGATAATCAAACTGACAGTTATGTAACTGATATCAATAATGGGCTCAGTGAACTGTACACTTTAAAAGCACAGTGTGCAAACATTATTTATTTCTTTTCTTAAATGGTCGACTTTAATGGTTGATTTTATGACGCCTCGTCATTTATATTGAGAATAATGGATGACTTCTCTGGCAGGCGTTTGCAATTTTCACACATTTTTAAAGCAATCATTGAATTAAAGGAATATGTTTCTCCCAAAGCACATCTCAGTATGTTTGCTGCTCATCCGCACTGTTTAGCAGTCTGGTGAGATCCTATAAACAACCACATTAAGACACAATTAATCTTGAGACATCAAGGAAATGTAACGCTTATAGAGCCGGTGGCACAGTCCCATTAGATCAGTGTCATTAAACACACACTGTGTTTTCTGGAACAATCCATAATACTCTTATAGAGACTCTCCTTGTTCAAATGTTTGATCTGTTTTATCTGGACCTACCTTGGGCTTCCTGGTGCTCGTGCAATTGACATTTTCATGTAATGTTGTTTTTTTTCCCCCATTCGCAGACCACCACTTAGTACTGAGCTTGTTTTTAAATCTGTGCATTTCTGGATTTCCACCTACAGGTGCGACCAGACAGCGAGTGTGGATTGAAGTGCGTCACTTGAAACTATTTCATGGAGGGAACAAAAATATTCCTCTGGGTCACAGGACAAAGGGTAATTTCGCCAAGCACAACATGATCCTAGATCAACATCTTGTGCGGTCAAAGAGAAATAGACTTTACTTGCGCTTCATTTACTCATGAAGGCTGATGAGAATCATATTTACCAGCTCTATAGTACCCAATCATGAAGAATCCTGTTGAATTGATTTCTGCATTTGTACATTGTGTTCTTAGAGGGATGCGCATGGTCAGCAACAATACTCAGGTTCTCCGTGCAACGCTCTCTTAGTACTTAAGAGGCTCAAAGTGTGCCAAGAAACCCTAACATTATTACAACACATTATCCATTGATACAAGATAAGATGGATCCATGCTTTTGTGTGTGTGTGTGTGTGTGTGTGTGTGTGTGTGTGTGTGTGTGTGTGTGTGTGTGTGTGTGTGTGTGTGTGTGTGTGTGTTTTTTTAAGTCAAATTCTGACTACTATGTAAATGTTGCAGCAGAGGTTGCCAAGCAATGCCACTCACTTATAAATGCCCAATGTAGTCAGTCAGTGCATTTACATGCACATTGTTGAAGG